GGGAAAGGACAAGCTGGATTTCAGACAGAGAACCAACCACTGATTGCCTCCACCCATAGAGCTAGCCTGAACCAGTGGAGATGTGGCAGAAAGTTGAAGGTAAGCAGATTCCTAGCACAGGTCTTAATGCATGCATCTTTAGAAAATCTTAAAAGTGCAATGGAAAACAATTGAAAGTTACAAACTGAGCTTGGGCCATAAAGATCATTTTTGTATAAGTGGATTGTGTCCTTCCAGCAGTTTTCTCCAACTTGATACCCTTCATATTTTTCTTGCCTCAACTCCCATCAACCCCAGTCAGTATGGCCAATGGTCATAACATGCTTGGGGTTGTAGTCTAGAACATCTGGAGGTGCAAATAAGTGGAAGTTGCCTTATCAACATGATTCTTTGTAAAAACTGTGATTACCATCCCTGCCAGTAAGTTGCAAAACCTCTTAAATGGAAAGAAGCATTCAATAATATTGTCCAGACAGAATGCCTCCAAAAACAAAAAAAAATCCATCCAAAGAAAGTCCCACAAAAAAACCTAGTATGAACAATGCTGTTGAGAAAAGTATCTTTCTCATAGTTCCAAATGTTAAAACACACCCTCCCCCCATAAATACTAAGGACTGCTAGAAGAAACCGGGAAATAAACAATGGCTACTGTGAGGAGTTGCGGCTAATCAACACTGTCTTTAGCTTACTGGCAGAACTTGTAGGGGTGGAGAATAAAGAGAGCCATTTGGATTCCAGAAGAGACCCATCCACTTGATCTTGAATTACGCCCTTGTCTCAGCATCCACTTCCTATCTGTGTCATGGAATTGTCATACATAACCACAAAAGGTTATGATTCAAATTGTTCTCCCAAAGAACAGTGTTCAGTATCACGATATGTTTAGTTAGAAATCAGTTTTAGGTCAGAGTCTACACTTGAATGAGCATTTAATTCCATGGTACAGTTGGTGTAATATGAGAACTCAAAGGAAAGTTGTAGAAAGTTTAAAGCCAATAGCCATCATTGTGGCAA